TCTTATGTTTTTCATGTCCTCAACTGGGCAATAGCTCTCCATCAAAGAAGGTCTTGGATGGAGGTTTTGTAGACTCCTAAATCCTAGCCTCTGTCACATTCCTAGAAAGCTGTACAGCTGGACACCTGATAATAATATTTGAGAGAGCCCTTACTTCCCATTGTGCAAAGCAGGGTTGCAGAATATTCTCCAGTCTGAGGAATAAATTCTGTTTCAGAGGAACTCTGAGGGGTTGTACCCCAGAGCAGGTAGGACCAAAACCAAAAGGTTGGAACCAAAAATACTAGCAAGTTTTAGTCTCAGGTTTTCGCTGCCAGCAAATAAGCATTCGGGAAAGGTGAACCAAAGGTGAGGAAGCCACACAGGAATTACTGGTGGAAGGAAGGGGGTCATAGGCTTTTGGGGAACTCAGATTTGCCCTGCAGCAGAAGATATGTTTTTGCCATTATCCTCCCCTCTGTTCCAAGGTACAGTTGGCTTCATGGGGCAGGGTTCACCAAGGGATCCAGTCTCTGAGGGTAGCACATGGAACATCTGTACGCTAGAGCGTTTCCATTCTTGCTTACATAGATTCCCTGACTCAGAACAATTGTCGATCAACAGACAGTACTTTGTCTGAACTGCGTACCTCTAGTTGAGTCATTTTGCCAATTTTAATATCACCATACCTTGTGTCTGACACATTCTCATGGTCTGTTTTTTCAGCAGTGTCCCTTTTCCTTGTTGGTTTGTGGGTTCACATCCTTCATTTTAGTGGGTATACTTGATATGAGCTACATATTGGATATCTTTCAAATGCTTGCTTGAAAAAGCAATTCAAAACCAGTTCAAAACGTCTCTGCTTTTTGTCCTCCAGAGTACTCATTTTGCCCTATCAGAGGCTCCAACATTGTTAACTCTGGGATTTTATCTAAAAATAACAATCCCGCTCTATATGAACATGATATACAAGTCGCACCCTTCAGCTGATAGTCTTGAATCATTCTCAAGTCATTGGTGTTTCTCTAGGGACATCTCCACTCCACCCAACTCTGGATAGTACAGATAAGAACTCTGGTGACATGCACATGATTGCTTAGCCAGAGATCAAAGAAAAGCAAGTCAGGAGCCCTTGATCTTAAGTCCCAGAGGTTCATTGTTTTCATCTGAACTTGTTTTAGCGATTTGCTGTCTTCCATGTGTGATGCCATGGTAACATTGGACCAGACCAGCTGGAATCACAATGGGCTGGTGCAAATTTGATACTGAGCCATAGTATCAAAGCTCAGGACTGCATGTTCCCTGATTCCCCCTCTCCCTATACACACACTTTCTGGTGTGACCAGAAGGAGGAATTTGAAAGTTTCACTTATTTTAACATTAATTCTAGTTTGCCATAGTGTCAAACCTAGACAAACTGGAGTTAATCTTAACTATGGTTGGTAGAAATAAGCCATCTTCAAATGATAGTTTTTCAAGCTAGGTTGATTCCACTAAGATTAGGCACACTTAGGTTTTGGATGGAATGCTGACCTGTGTTTCATCGGACATGAAAGCAAAGGTTGCTGATCTCATGGGCATGCCACAGGAAAGGAAGAGAGAGGAAGTAGGCACTTACAACAGCTATGCTGCTGGTTTCCTTGAGGAAAGTTCTTCTACTGATGACAAGTAGGGCAATGTACCCTGGAAAGACCATGGAGTTACTGTGGACAACAGGCTAAATATGAGCCAGCAATGTAATAGAGCTGCAAAAAGGCCAAATGCTATTTTAAGACTTATGGGACTTATTGTATGACTTCCAAATAATGAGAGATAGTGGTTCAGAGGAAGGTAACAAAAAGGATGCAGGATTTGGAAGTTCCACGGTGTGAGGAGAGACTGGGAGAACTGGGCAGGTTCAGCCTTGAGAAGAGAAGACTGAGGGGGACATGATATCCCTCTAGAAGTACCTCAAAGGCTGTCACAAAGAGGAAGGGCAAGATCTCCTCTTGCTGATGCCAAAGTGTAGGACATGGAATAATCAATTTAAGTTGCAACAACCCAGATTCAGGCTGGACATCAGGAAATGCTTCCTCACTGTCAGAGCAATATGACAGTGGAACCAGCTGCCTAGAGAGGTGGTGGGCTCTCCCACACTGGAGACATTAAAAAAGAAACTTGACAGACATCTTCATGGCCCCTTCTAACGCTACTATTCTATGATTCTAAGCTGCTTTGAGTTGGTTATAAACCGAAACTAAGACTAAAATTCCTGTCTTTTTGAGGGTCTGGTTGGGGAGGAAGAGCAGCTTCATCTCATCCAGCCTTTCAGAACCCATGATCAGCTGAGCCCCCACTTCACCAGTAGATAAAGCAAAGATAGGAGTGCATCAAAATTAAGAATATAGACAGAATATAGACAGATCAAAGGTGATCAGATAATTGGTCCAGCACATTTTACATCTGCAGACTCTTCCTCAGAAGTAACTGGTTTAACAATTTCTGCAAATTACCAAATTTTCTAGTGAGCTATTCTGATGAATTATGGAATCACTTCAGTACAGGGTGAAACATCAACAGACTAACTTGTTTCTAATTACTAAATCATATAATGTCTTAGTGAGCTGTTGTGTAAAATTCTGCCTGCACAATTTTCTGTATTTCTCCCTAAATAAAAGGATTAAAGACCCCTTCCCCTTCTTAAATAAAAACTGAATATTCAGGAAGGCTGCTGAAGCATCCAGGAGGTTTTCTCCTGGCCATGGCCTTGCTCTTCCACAGAGCCCTAGACTTGTCAGCAACTTGTTTAGTGACAAGAGTAGACATGGCTGGTGCCTGCCAAGGGTCTACACCTCAGCAGGGTCCCACTGTGAAGAGATGCTCTTGGAATTTCTCCTTCCCTTCACGGTTGCACCATGTTTGTTCACCTGCCTCTTGCTGTTGCCCAGAAAATAATGCTGATGGGAAGGTGAGACTGCAGATGCCACTGCTGGCTTGCTCCCAGGCTGTTTGAAGCAAGAACAATGATGGGAAAAGAGGATGAAGGGCAATAGCAACTGGTAGCGATGGTGGCAAGAAGGTAGACGGGGTCCATGGATGATGTCTTGCTCAAAGGCCCTCCAAAACATGGAACCAGCACTGGTCCCAAACACGCTTTGGATCCAAATTTTTAACTGTCAAAGTGGTGTCTTGCAGAAAAAACCTGTTCTGGCTTTTGGCCACAGGGATAGACATTGCTTTCTGTATGAATTCTTTCTGTACCTCTGTAACTTACGAAAGTGTTTCTCATAACCATTCCCTGCCATCATTTCAGAAGCAATAGCCACAAAAACTGGTCTTCTGTGGCATAAGGATGCCTTTCGGAGGCCAAGGGCTGGATTGTGTCGAGTCAGTGGAACCTGGGCTGTACTCCGTCGCAGACAGAACCCACTGTGATATGCCAGGAATGTAGCTTGAAAGCTAGAGCTGGCCCTCTACCAAGGTCAATATAATGTGAGATATAAACACAAGGCCCCTGTCTCAGGTTCAGTCTGGCCAATGCAATGGACAATGTTTCAGTGTGGAAGGAACTCCCATTCGCTGCTGTTTGTTCCATGGGGGAGAGGAGTTGCTTTAGCACCTCTAGGAAGTGAACTGTAGATTGCCAAGGCAGTCTCATGAACATGATAAGATGAAGAATGATGAGGACACCTGAGTATTTCAGCAATTAGTGCATCTTTCACTTGTATCAGGGGTAGATAGGTTGTGTGACCCTCCAGATGTTTCAGCCTGTAACACCCATCAGCCCTAATCAGCACAGGCACTGATGAGACATCATGGGAGTTGGAGGCCAACCCAACTTATTGAACATTGTAATTCACATACGATTACAATAAGGGACTGCTTCTGAATGCATGATTGATCTATTAACCCCATACTTCTGACATGCATAGGTTAATGCTGTTAATAATCTTATTAACAGGTAAATTTCTTGAAGGGTACCCATTTTAAGAACAAAATAAGAAACGTTTGATCAGCCCAAAGCTACCTCTAGGGAAGAATCCTTTTCACACAGTGGCCAGGCTGCTGCCTGTGGGAAGATGATGATGATGATGATGATGATGATGATGATGATGATGATTAGAACATTTTTATGCCGCCCCATTCGCCGAAGCCTCGGGGCGGCTTACAACATTAAGTTAAAATAATTATAGTCTTAAATTAAAAAAAATATAAACATTAGATTAAAAATACAAAAATACAATATAAAATAAGCTGCCCTGGCCAATGGTGCTGCCATCCTTCCATTTGTTCTCTCAAAAACCAGCATAATATCGAGTGCGATATTTAAGGTTTTTCTATACCATCATTCATTAAAAATCTCATGATGGTTTATAAAATGCTGCTGATATTGGAGAAAAGATCAGCTTCTTGCAGCAAAAGCAATGCATCTCTTCGTGCCTTGAAGACTAAGACATTTAGTATGCCCTAAAGCTTAGCCACAGTCATATTGGTTGTTCTTCAAGGTGACACAAGATTCCATAATGTTTGTCGCTGTGTTTCAGCATCCGACATGTGAATGCCGACAGACGCCAATGTGGGTATCCACTCACTGTGACGTAGCACATTGTGGCCACTGCCGTGCAATTTTCCAATATGGTGGTGACCTTCTTTCACAATCTGCCAAACCCAGTGGCTTCCCATAAGGGAATGAGAATTGATTTATAAAGCTGCCTCTAAAGAGTGGTGTTTGTTTGGGGTTTCTTGCACATTTCTGCTGTTGGCTATCCCAAATCCAGTGAAGTAAGTAAAGGGCTTTACTTTTACTACTCTGTAATATTTCTGCTCCAGGTTCCTCCAACAAGCTTAGATGAAGGGAAAGAACTTGCAACTTTTGTTTAATGGTTGAGTGGAGGTGCAGAAGGCTCTGATTCAATCTTTAACTTAAGTTTCAAGTTCAGCCCGCCTGGACACCTGCTTGCCAGCTCAAAGAGGGAACATAAGCAGTTTCTAGTCTAGTTATGACAATTGTTTTTTAAATTTTTGTTCTCTTTGATGTCTAGGAGGCTCTCTCAGTGGTGAGTGAAGACCAGTCCCTGTTTGATTCCACCTACGGAGCTGCCACTCACCTTCCCAAAGCAGACATGACAGCCTCAGGGAATCCCGATTATGGCCAACCGCACAAAATCAACCCTTTACCTCCCCAGCAGGAGTGGATCAATCAGCCAGTCCGGGTCAACGTTAAGAGGGAATATGATCATATGAATGGATCCAGGTGAGGATGGACAAATGACCAATGTGCTACTATTTGAAGTCATGATCCTTGCCATGCTGGCTAGAGTGGATGGGAATTGGAGGCCAAAATATCTGGAGGGCAACAAGTAGCCCAACCAGATCTTCAGAGTGCAGAATCTGTAGATGCAAATTTTGCTGAAAGAGTCAGTTGTGTGACTCAGAGATAGAGAGGATTCTGCCCTTCACTGCAGGTCAGAATACGTAATCTTACTCTGCATTACCTACAAACTCACTGACCTCTTAAGGAGACTTATTTTCTTAAGCTGATATAATACAAATATCAATTTTGCCATGAAGGCAGCTATTCACTGATTCCTCTGACCTATGTTGACTGGAAAACATCAACATAATCATGAAGGAGGACCTGCAACAAAATGCTACAGTAGGAGGTACTGCTTTTCAGAATTCAAGTGCCCCCATGCCTCTCTCACTTTGCTCTGATTATCTGTTCTTCATGCCACAATGATTAGGCAGCATTCTGTGACTACAACTGCATTTAGTACGCACTGGACTATTTTGGAGCCTTCCCCTGAGGGTGTCTTGTTCTCAGGATTGTTTCTGCACGCCTAGGGGTTCTTCAAAGCATACTCCAGCCCTCTCTTTTGTGTGAATAGAGTCATTTTAGCTCCATCCATGATAAATGATAGTACGGTAGTACTCACAGGTTGAGCATCAGAAATAGATGGTTCTGAAATTTAAAAATATTTTTTGGAGGCAGGGAGAACCATAGTTCTCTGTAGTTGGACATTTTCAAAAGAAAGTTGCGCAAGCACTGACATGCATGAATATATGCATATGAAGAAAAGACATCCAAGTAAGTGATGTCAAAGCTGAAGTCACCAATGATTGCATAACCACCATCTCAGCACTGGAAGATGTATGATCATGTCTTTGAGTGTAGAGACATTGAAGCATAAGAACTAGCCTCATCAAGGTGCTCATGGCAAGCACAGTTTTCTGTCAGCGTATCTGTAGGGCAAAATGTCCTAAGATGTTCCTTTGCCAGGGAAGGATTTTGGCTGTTACTTTGGTAACCCCTGGATGCTTTGAACTAACTCCAGCCAGCATGACCAAGAGCCAAGAATCCTGGAAGAGGTTGGTCAAAATATCTGGAGGGAGCACACAAGGTTGGGGAAAAGCTAGTGCAGGGGAAATGAAAAATAGTACAGCTATGGCTTCTATTCCATCCATTTCTTCCCTATTTTCTCTGAGTGTTCCTCTCCACTGCCGGTACCAGGAAGCAGGGCATTCCATGTTTTTATTGCATAGAGTGCAAGAGGATAGTTGACAAAGAGGACAGTAGAAAATCAATGTGGGAGGAAAAGGGTCTGTGCCATCTCTGGCTTGCAAACCAGAAACCAGCCCAAGTATAACAACCTCTCAGGTCTAAGCCTCATTATGCAACTTGCCCCAACCCTGCTTTTGGTAACTTAACGTGTGTGCTTCCCTTCCTTTGGGAATGTCATGGAAAAGACAATCAAATGGACCAGGCTGGGAAGAAGGTTAGAGCTGGAGGACTTCTTACACAGAATGAGACTCAGTCTGGCTTCAAGGCAGCAGGGTTCTTACCAAGGGTAAAGCATTAAAAGAGAGAGAGAATCACAGAGAAACCGAAGTTCTAGACCATCAATGTTCAAAGCAAAGAGTACAGTGTCAGGTAATGAATTAAAATGCAACATCACTAGTAACCCAGCAGTCTATTCCCAGGAGGACCAGCAGTGGAAGGACCAGGTAGTAAGAAGAGCAGTGACCACTGCAGTGTAAAGTCACTGTTCCAGCCACCCTCCATTATGGAGGCTTATAAGCTGAAGCTTTCAGAGTATCAGATGCTTCTGACAGAGATTCTCCTTATGAGGGAAATCTGCTCACTGGGAACCCTTTATTGATGGAGAGTCTTCAAATACAAGCAGACACTTCTCAAAGAAATGTTTTTGGCCTGTCTCTTGCCATTTTAGTGGTCCTAGAGGCTAAGTGGTCACTCAGCCTCCTTATCAGAGGTGGAACTCTTCTTCTTTCTCAGGGATGGATCTGTGGACATCCACTCTAATTTCCAGGTACCTCCTGAACCATCTCCAGGACTCCTGGCATGAGTTGCTCCTCAATGCTGTTTGTATCAAGAAGGTCTAGCCCTTCCTCTCAATGGATTTCTCCCACAGGGTCATGATATTAGCAACTGTTTGGCAATACATTCCCCTTTTATTCTTCCAGGGTTAGTTCTGAGGTGTGTGCATGTTTTTCTTCTGGTCAGTTATTGCCCATAGGTCCCTCCCCTCCATGCTGCTTTGCCTCCTGTGTGATGGTGTTCCATCTGTCTTTCCTGATATGAGAAAATTCAGAAGCTGTGCCTAGAGGCAGACAAAAGAGGAATAACTGGCACATCCAGAGGAATCTCATGCTCTGAAAGAAATGGGGACAATATGTCAGGCTTTGTTAGCCAAGTCAGTTTAAAATTATTATCCTTCAAGCAAAAACCAGATAAATATTTTCTAGTGCCTGTGTCTGTGCTGGATTAGTGGCTGTTATTGTTTCACAAATATATCCTCAAGTAGGGCAGCTTGTGAGGAAGAATGCCTGACTCGTTCGCTTTCAGGCTGGCCTGCTGGTGTCAAACAAGTTATGAGACTGTAAAGATGAAAATTTCAAGCCAGACATCTGAGAGATTGCACTGTAAATGCATGTCAATGGTGGATAAATTAATTACACCAAGTACCTGAATTCAAGCCAGTGGAATCCCAAGAGCTCTGGTAGGAATTTCAGTCTCTTTTAATCATTACCCATTGTACCCAAACTGGATGTGACATGGGTCTATAGCAGGAGTGTTGAACTTCAGGTTTCTGGGCCAAATGGGGCCTCTCTGGGGTCCCAGTCTAGCCCTTGAGGTTTCCCAGACTTCCCCACCCCAGAAAACAGAGCAACAGCAACTGCACAGACTGGTATAGAAAGTACATTTGTGTATGTCTGTCTGGGCTGTAGGATCATATCTAAACAGCCCTTCCAAATATACAAATCTCTGATTTCTCCCAATGACTCTGAAACATTTTAGGCCAGTATTTTAGCATTCTCATTGTGGCCTCTCCTCTCCTCTCCTCTCTCACACATCAGCGTCCATAATAGTTACTATTAATGATTAAGCAGGGAGAAATTTAACAAACTGATTTGGAAGAAACCCTGCTGAACAACTGCAGCTGTGAAAGAAAACGTAACTTTTAAATGCCTGCTCACATTGCAATTTTGGCTATTATGATTTCTCCTCTCTTAGTCTCCTGGAGATGCAGGGTGCTTAAAAAGAGCACAAATTGTTGCAAACTTAGCAAGGGGAAAAGGGTTGCCTATCTGAATGCTCCTCATTTTGCAACTGCAAAGAGAGCAGATAATGAAAATGCAGTTGTCTGGAGAGCTAATAACACTTTTCTTTTGGCCCATGTATCCTACTCAGCAGGTTAGCTGGGATACACAAGCCCGTGCCATGTGGGAAGGCTGTGCCTGCATCCCATGAACAATGCAATCACTTGGCTCTATTTCCTGAGCTGGCTGTCTCATGACTTCCACCCAACCCCAGTTGCCTGTTTCTTGAGCCCGTTCGCTGCCTAGCAAGACCCAGGATCCTCCAGTGTCCCATTTCCGTATATAATGCACTTCAGAACTGCATCCTCAGGAGTCCCCATTGCCCATTTCTCCTCTTTCCCATTTCTTTCTTCCTTTCTATTGTCCACCCCCAGACACACGCACGTGCATACATAAACTCATCCTCTTTCCATTCCAGCTGCCCCCTGAGAACACAGACTTTATTCCTTGCTTCAGGACCCATTTTTATTTTTTTAAAATTCTTTTGGAGGAGAGAAGAGTTCAGCTACAGCCTGCTAGATGTCCTGAATTCATTATTAGCTAATGAATCAAGCAATTCACTGCAATATTCAGGGCCCAGGGCTTGGAAGGCCATGGTCTCCACTAGGGATTGTCCCAGGAGTTCAGAGTCCCAGGAGGTTTTTGCTTGTGGTACCCTTAAGCACATGCACCCTTGTGCTGTCACACATAGCAAGATCTTTCTGGTAGGAGCATCCTGGCCCTGGAACTCACTTCTGGCAGAGAATCACCTGCCCCTGGGCTATTGCCAGACAGGTACCACTTAAGGATCCATTTTTTCGTGCAGACTGGAGGGGGGGGGGCTATAGGCAATGGTCCTGCTTGTGCTTGGATTCTGTTGATAGTTTTATTGTATTTCATGATATATTTGTGATTTTAGAGTCATGGTTTTAATGCTGCTGTGTGATGTATATAGCTGCAGTGGCCTATTTGTGAGGAAGGACAGGATATAAATCTAATAATAGTTCTCTAGGGACTTCCACAACTGCATGAATTTGAACAGTGGGAAGAAATGCATTCCAGGTGAGAGAATGCGTCAGAGCACACATAATACTGTGCATGGAGAATGCATGTTCCTTTTCTTTTGTTTTGCTGTATTTTCATTCATTATTGTTTTACACACTTTCTGTACCAGTTTTCAGCAGATTCCAAAAGGGCACAGACCTTTTATAAAGCATCAAACAGCGTAACAGAAATAACAGAGTACAATGTATCTCAGTAGCTCAACTGAAAAAGAAAGATCTTACATTGTTTCTGGAAAGTCAGCCAGGATGAAGATATATAATGTTTCCCATGGGAGGACAGAAGGTGGCATTCCAAAGATCTGAAGCTGGAACACAGTACACTGTGCTATTTTTGGAGGCCCATCTAGCTTCCCTATATGATGAAGTCCTCAGCGGGTCATTTCTCCTCTTAGTCCTTCATCTGCCTGGAACAAATTTCTGCATCTCCTATAAGTTTGGCTAATAAGTCAGCACCAGCATTCATTAATGCATACTTAAGACTATCCAGAGTTTTTCTTCTGAGTTTTAAAGAAAGGTTCTTTTATTAGCTCTGCCTGAAAAGAAGTGATGAACATTTTGAGGCAAAACTGGGACAGACTGTAGCTTCCACTTA